TCACATTGCTAGTCAGACTGGTCCGACGTGATAATCGAGGATTTTATTTCCATTTATACTTTGCTAAGTAAAAGAAGTGAATATGTTTGCCTCTTTATTTGCAAACGTTGCTTTTACTTCACATGCGTCCTCTCCATCGGGCAGTGCGTATATCAGTTTGCAAGGCATCTTTTCAGGAAGCTTTTACATTTTCCTTGACAGAGTGCGCGCGAACACCTACCTTCTGCAGTACTTGCAGGGCGTCGTGACGGGCCTACATTCTAGTCTTACTTACATCAGTCGCTCCCACCACCTGCTAGTTGGCACGCTCCGAAGGCTAAATTGTGCATGGTAGGGGAAAAGTGGGGTCGACACTCGGAACTGCGTCTGTACGACATATCAGCTTTTCGCCACTAAAGTAAATCTGATTCGCTGAGATCCGTGACTCGGAACGTCGCCAACTGGCAAATATCTGGTTTCTCTCAATACCGTCATATTTTCCATTACAGCAATGGTTCCTTTACTCTGTTCGGCCTCTGTGGCAGTCCTATGCAAGTGAGAAAGAGCTATCCGCGTGGAAGCACCTATAGACCGGGTCGTCTGCTTTGCTGGCAGTGCGTCCGAGTCCACTTGCAGTCGTCTTGACACTAGCGGTTGAAGATAGTGTGTGGTAGATTCTTCTTTCTGTCTGTCTATAAAATTATTCACGGGCAAGTCGCAAGTCTTGCGGTCACTCCATTTAGCACGCGGCGATCTTCGATCTCAAAAAGCACAACATCGGATGATTCGTTGATTGAAGGTAGGGGGTAGTAGAAGACTATGGGATATCTGGGACCATCATCCTCCTTGGAAACAACGAAGGACGACAAGGACAGTGATCGATCAATTAACAACAGACTGCAGCTCTAGCATTTGCTCTCTTTTCTACTATCCTAGCGCTAAACTAGCACAAGGGTGTGGGATATGGCGGATGAATCCAAACATAGACAGAATGCATGATCTTACGTTGTTTTATTGTCACTGCTTAGGCTCACATGGAGTACCATCAGAGAGTGTATTGCATTCGAAAAGCGAGGATTAGTGATCCATACCTGGGCTTGAGTGCGGTCGTTAGCTAGTAATGGAAGAAGCGAGACTTGGCTGGGAGAGATGTGCGCTAATATCATGGAGCTAAGGAACGTCTCTGTTTAAGTATCTCGCGTAGGCCTTTAGGAGAATACTTGAAAACGAACGATGTATTTCCAGTCTCGTGTTCTGTTTCAAATAAACCTTTATCACTAAATTATGAAGCCTGAGAAGATTAAGCACCCACTTTGCCCTAAAACACGCTGATCAGTAAGCCAGTGTCCCAACACGCGTGATATTGATTTGCAACAATTACACAGTCATTAAATATAATTTTTAACTGTTAACAGTGGTCTCCTAACTATGAGCGTCCATCACGTCCCAAAAGCTACCCCTTATTTTGTATACTTGACCATTGGATCATGCATTTCTATGTTTGATATCTAAGTATCCGCAGTGCCTTCGTAATGCGTCGCACGTTTTCTTCAGTAATTTTTTTTAATCGATGGGTTTTCTAGGATGTTCTTAAAAAAACACTTATTAAAACATAAACCGCACATTCCAGTAAGCTATAAATTGCGTGAGTATGAATGTCACTTATCTGCACCGCTCGTTATCACTAACTAAAGTGCTACATTACGCGTCGTATCTGTTATTCTCAAAAAGTTGTGACGTTAAGGGGCCAAACATTACGGTCGTTCTTATTCATGCTGTCTGTTTCTGTTGGCGAGAATATAATCATCCACTGAGTAAGATTACCGACAAAGAAAAGGGAGTCTGAAATAACCCCTTCTGACTTATTTACCGCTGGCCGCCTGCCATACCCCAATCCCAGGTTTGGTACATCTGAAGGTCAAACCTTGGATCCGTCGCTATTGAGGTTAGCGTTTAGCCACCTAAGCCAAAAGCCCGTTGTGATGGCACCACGATCGTTATTATTAATTATATTGGAATGGCATTCACCGATCGGGTTACAAAACCTGCTCGACCTTGTAATGTGCATACTACAAATCCTCCTGCGACTGTCTACAGGGCTCTAGATTGTGATCCCAAGCAAAACGGGACGAGCTGGTTCCGGAGCCCGATACCCAATGTATGTATCGGGAGTCAAGTAATATCATTCGATAATGTTTCGCAGACCGCGGCCTATGGATCTTATTGCTTTTCTCGATATTTGAAAAGATCGCAGCGTCTGGGGTAATCATCTCGTTAGGAATGGAAGTAGGTCTAAACTAAGTTGAGATTGGCCATTTGAGGATTGGCCCATTGTCTGTTAGTTGCCTCGCCGGCTAGTTCTCTTAATCTAAATGGCTAAAAATACATGAGTGGTTAATGGGGCTGTTCAGGTTGACAGGCTGGGATGCAAAACACAAAACCAACCTATGCTAATCGGTTGGCCTGCTCGCGCGTCGAGTCACCTCCCGGTGTATTGCATGGTTTGCAATACCAACATATAGTTACACAACATTCAGCGGATGACGAGTATTTTAAAATGCTTACTAACATATCGGGCCAAGGTTCAAGGATTCTTGACTATGCGTTTCACTTTCCAACTGACTGTTCGGGTTTACAATGCGTGAATAAATTTTTAAACAGAAACCTACTCTCAACCACCGGGGTAGGAAAAAGATGCAATCTTCTGCAGTTATTAACCCGCTTTCTTAGTTGACGCAGGCATTGCGGCACTACTTGCTGGTTTTGGTTCGAAGGGCACTTCAAATGGAAT